GTGTTGGAAGGTGGAAGTCAGTCTGGACTATCAAACAAAAAGTTATCTCCGGGCTGGGAAGGTGGCTCAATGGTAGAGTGCTTGCCTTGCATGCATGAGGCCCTGGGTTCAATTCCTCAGCACCACATAAGCAAAAAGAAAAAAGCTGGAGCACTGTGGCTCAAGTGGTAGAGCACTAGCCTTGAGCTGAAGAGCTGAGGGACAGCGCCCAAGCCCAGAGTTCAGGCCCCATGAACGACCAAAAAAAAAAAGATCTAAAGCCCATCAATACAACAATGCTTGAGATATATTTTTATGCTGATACTGAGACTTGCTCTCTAAGCCTTTTGCTGAGCTTTTTCCACTCTTGGCTGGTGCTTTATAACTTGAGGCATGTCACCACTTTGGAATTTTGCTGGCTAATTGGAGATAAAAGAGCCCAGGTTCCAAAAAAAAAAAAAAAACAAAACAAGACCCAGGTTCATTTCAAACCACAGGTCTCAGCCTCGTAGTGGCTAAAATTGTTAAGAGCCAACAGTGCTCAGATTTTATTCTACTCACATGGAAATTATCTTTTTATCTGGGCACTGGTGATTTTTGCCCCAATCCTAGCTACTCAGGAGGCTGAGAGCAGAAGGTTCAAATTCGAGGCCAGCCAAGGCAGAAAAGTTCACAAGGCCTTGTCTAAAAATAACCAGCATAAGCAGGGTTGAAGGCATAACTCAAGTGGCAGAGCACCATCTAACAAGCAGGAGGCCTTGAGTTCAAATCCAAGTACTAGGGGAAAAAAATGATTTTAGTAGGCATTTCAGATTGGCATTCCTAATTTGCCTTCATAACTAAAGTAATAAAATTAAGTGCAAAGAACCAAAGAGAAAAGGAAAGAATTCAAATGAAAATTTAAATACTTATGATTTATAGTAAGTTCCAAAAAATTACCAGGCAGAAAATTATAAGCTCATTTTGTACTTGCTAGACAATCTTGTTTTTTTTTTTCATTTTGGGGGGAGGGGTGGTGTCCAGTTGTGGGGCCTGAACTGGGCGCTGTCCCTCAGCTCTTCAGCTCAAGGCTAGCGCTCTACCTACCACTTGAGCCACAGCACCACTTCTGGCTTTCTTTTTGCTAATGTGGTGCTGAGGAATCGAACCCAGGGCCTCATCCATGCAAGGCAAGTGCTCTACCACTGAGCCACCTTCCTAGCCCCTATTTTTTAGTTTTTGGTGGGTAGTGGGTCTTGAACTCTAGGCTTGGGCTCTGTCCCTGCGCTCCTCACTCTTCAGCTCAAGGCAAGCACTCTACCACTTGAGCCACAGCGCCACTTCCGGTTTTCTAGTCGTTTAACGAAGATCAGTGTCTCATGGGATTTCCTTCCCCGGGCTGGCTTTGAACCTTGATCCTCAGATCTCAGGCTCCTGAGTAGCTAGGATTACAGGCATGAGCTACCAGTAACAGCTTGTTTTATTCTCATCATCTGGACTGTCTGCCTGTTTGGAATGATCACACTCTGGATCTCCAGCAGATATTCACACACACCAAGTTTCATCATTTCCCTAAGAAAAACTTGCTCAATTCTGTATTAAAAAGCTAAAATATAACCCAGAAAAATCTGTTGCTATTTTGACAATAAAACCTTTAATCAGTTGGAGGTGTTAGTTGGGAACATTCATAGAACTTGGATAAATATATTTCATATCAACCTTGAATACCTACTTCCATTACTTTTTATTTACTTCATATGAAAGGAAAAAATAATACAAAAATGATGTGATGTTTAGTTCAATTTGGTTCTAAAATCCAATGTTCATTCAGTTGTGTAACAGCTGAAATTCATAACTGATTAATACAGCATTCTGAAAAGAGTCATTTTCTTAAACTATTATATAGTTTATTATATGCCTTTATCGTTTATGATGAAATCAGTAACAAAATTCTTAAGAACCATCTTCAGTGGTTGGGTGGGAAAGGAGACCTAAAATATTAAGGATGATCTCAATGTTTTGGAAGATTGTTCTATGTTCATCAGTAGAACATAATATGCATTATCTGCACATAAGAAAATCAGTTGCATTTGTGTAGTTTGTTGGGATAAAACATCAATTATAGGCTAAAATTATAAACCAGTACCTTAACATACCAATCAAAGTGTAGTCCTTGATCAGCTGCCATTTATACTACCTGGAGCTACAAAAAATCTCAGGCCCCACACAGTCCTCCTAAATCAACATTCTGAATTTTAACAAGGTCCCTCCCCAAGTGACTTAGATACATATTGAAATTTTAGAAAAACTACTTCAAATTCTTTACTTACCTTTTCCCCTATAAACAGATATACGTAAAATTCATTTTAGGACCAAATGAGGAATAAGCATTAGTTTTCTAACTGCCAGGGCAAGAATAGACTTTGATGGTAGTTTTATAACAACTTTGAACTAAAGCTTTCAAACTGAAATTAATTTATAAACTCAAAAAGTTAAAGCAGCTGAACAGAAACATGAACTTTTCCCAGACAGTAGAATATGCTCCAGCTTATACATGTTCATAGGCAATTCTGAAAAACAAACTGAAGGCTAAAATTTTTTTATGAAGCTTAGTGGCAAAATTTCAGTTTTTTTGTTAGTCCTGGGGTTTGAATTCAGGGCCTGGGCACTGTCCTTGAACTTCTTTTGCTCAAGGCTAGCACTCTACCACCTGAGCCACAGCACCACTTCTGGCTTTTTCTGCTTATGTGGTACTGAGAAATTAAACCCAGAACTTCATGCAAGCCCTAAAACCTCATTTTTTTTTTAATTGGTGGTGGGATTGAACTAGGCCTGAGTGCTGTCCCTCAGCTCTTCAGCTCAAAACTAGCGCTCTACCACTTGAGCCACAGCGCCACTTCCTGTTTTCTAAGGTTTATCGGAAATAAGAGTCTTACAGACTTTACTGCCCAGGTGGCTTTGAACCTTGATTCTCATATCTCAGCCTTCTGAGTAGCTAGGATTACAGGTGCAAGCCACTAGTGCCCAGGTAAAACTTCATTTTTGAAGTAGCATTCAGTTAGCATTTAGAGTAACATCAACCACTCCGCTGATGATTCTACTTCACTGGAGACATGCATTTTATGTACCTCTGAAGGTTTCGAGTAAGTGACATCTCTAATCTGTAGTGATTAAGATAAGCATAATTGAAAGAGTAGAAAAGAAACAAGGTAAACTCCATCTACCTGAGTAAACTTTCATGCATTTAATATTGGCCAAATAAAAACACCTAATACGATGTCTTAAACTATGTAGTCGTTAAGACAGTCAAACCAAGGTACTTGAACAAAGTGGTGGACTGCTGGGGAAAATGAATCTGAAAAAAATCTAGTGCATAAATTTGCAATGGCAAGAAACATCTTTATGAAAATTTCCTTTGGAAAAAAAAAACAAAATTTAAGACATTTTAACACAACATAGAATTCCCATAAATGTATATGGATTTATCCAAAATAAGGCAAATGGCCTCTTTGACCTATTGATACCAAGTCATAGAAATCAAGTCCATTAAAAATAATTCAACCCATATTATCAAGTTGTTTTTAGCATGCAATACACATTACAACATGATGCATTTATTTACAAGACTCTGAAAGAATGCGTCTCCAAGATCAAATATGTACACTTTTAATATCTGAAATATTTACATAATGGAACCATGTTACGGTTCAATGTTAAGAACAGTATTTTCAAATGTCCTCAAGATGTTTTTTTTTTTAATCTAGTATATTCAAGCTCACAGTTATACTTTTCTAATAGGCCAATCTTTTTCTTTTAAATAAATAGTATGGCAACAGATGCACTTAATTTGTATTTGTAATTGTCTAAAACGTGGTACATTTCAGATAAACTTTACTCCCTGATGATGTTCTGACCTACAATTTTTAAAAGCCCAGATATGTCTTTAAATATACTATCAGTACGTTTAAACTCTGAAGAGAAGTAAAAATTAGTGGTTGGAAACTGCCTTGAGCAATTTTATTCTTTGGAAATAAGATATATGCTTTATAAATTGTCACCAGGCTGAATTCCTATTGTGTTTTGTAAAACTCTCTTTGCCTATAAACTTGCCTAATTTTATTAAATTTTTTTGGTGCTGAGAACTGATCCCAGGACCTTTTACATAGTAAACGTGAACTATACCCCCCAGCTCCTTTTGTTTTAAAAAAGATTTTCTTCCCACTTACACTTTTGGAATGATTTCCCATAACCCCCATTTTTAAAAATTTTATTTATTTTTTTGATGCTGCTCTTGGGAGCTTGAATTCAGAGTCTGAGCGCTTGTCCTGAGCTTTTTTTGCTCAAACCTAGCGCTCTCCCACTTGAGCCACAGCTCCACTTCTAGCTTTTGGGTGGTTAACTGGAGATCATTCCTGCCCCAGCTCACTTTGAACCGTGATCCTCAGATCTCATCCTGAGTAGCTAGGATTACAGGCCTGAGCCGCTAGGACATGGCTCTGTCCCCTACTTTAAACAAAGGAGTACACCAAAAGTAAACTAAGGGCCAGTTAATGTAAAACCTTGATGGAATTTTAAATGTGCCTTATTTTTGAGCAATAAAATTGGGGGGAGGGATCACTGTGATCTACATTCCATTAGGAAAAGTGGAAGCAGCCAGCTGTTCAGTGAAACCCCATCCTGTTAGCCGAATGTTGCTTACTACAGAATACCATACTCTTGAGAAACCAATAATCTTAATTCTATTAGTTGGGTTGGCACAGTGTCACTTTTCCTTTATGTTCGATTAGGAAATGTCTAAGGGAGCCCATATCAAGGCATATTAAGAAAAAACCTTTATACAAACATTCACACACATTCATACAGATACAGTAGGAATGCTGTCTGCTAATTTTTCATTCTAATTTTAAATTCTTTGCCTTCATGAGGGCTTACCATTTCTGATCAAAGGGGGTGAGGGTAATGATATGACTAGCATTCTCTCAATAAAATTATTCATGTTGGCTTCTATACAGTACAGTTCAATATTAAGTGGAATTCTGAAAAAGAATTAGGGAGTCATTTTAATATTTACAAGGAACAAATCAGCAGAACAAGATTCTATTAGGCGGTGTACAGTAGCTGCAGCTTATAAAACATACCAGTCATTTTTGTACCTGGTGAGTATAAAGAGAACCAGGGATTCTGATGACTTTACAACCAAGGGAGTACACAGGGCATCAACAAATTATAGAGGACAAAAAAATTCACATTTTCTACATTGAAAAAAATTACAGATCTCACAAACGTCTTTGAAGAACAAAGAAAAATTCAAAGTCCTCTGAAGGCTGGGAAAGAATTCTGAAATGGAACTCTAAATGTCAAGCGTTTTACTTCACAAGACCAATTTTCTTGGCTTCTGTTTCATATATCAATAACCGCCACATTTTGACTATAAAAACTTCTGCTTCTTCATCAAGTACCTACAAAAACAGAAACAACAGCAACAGTGTAAGTAATTCTCAGAATCTCCCTGGCTTTATCTATGTACAAGCAGTTTCAAATAAAATGAGTTCAAGGAAATCTGTCTAGTGTTGTAATGTTTAAACAGAACATGTAAATTACCCCAAAAGAATAGTCAGCAAAATACCATAGCTTACTAAAGATTAGCACTGCAGTATTCTTTCACCCAACTTTGGTCTCAACCGATACTACATTTATGTCTAAGGAAAATACATACTTGTCCTAAAGATAGTTTAGGAAGAAAAACACATAACTAACAAGATACAGAATATCTCTCCCCCAAAACAACTTTATCTGAAATTTAGCCCAATGCTTTTTAGATGCTTATTTACTAAATAAACGTTTACTAAAGTAAATAAACATTGTATTACTGTCTTTAGAATACTGTAAAAGTGACCACAAGAAATCATATTATTTCCTACTACTTAGAGTGGAATTGTCTTGTATTCACTTTTGTCATCTCAGAGACTTTGCCCTTAGCTCAGGAGCTGCTCTGAAGAGAGCTTCCTTTGAAATGAATCAACTATGACCAGCTTCCAGAGTATCAGTGCCTGGCAGAAAGCAGTCTCTTAGCCAGGTCTTCCTAGGGGTAGTTTAGGGGAAGAATTTATAGCAAACCAGATCTCTATGTAAACTTTATCATCAAACCTCACTTTTACCATCTACTAAGTAGGAGACCAAGAGGAAATGTAATTATGTCATAACAGGAGACACTCTGGGGAATCTAATAATGGTGTAAGACAAAAGACAGTAGGATCTCAAATTGGAGGCCCTGAGCAAAGGTGGCAAATAATATACCCTGTCTCAAAATCAATTGGATTCCGTAGCTCATGCCTGAAATCTCAGCTCTGAGGGTAGGTGTCCTCCGATTATGATCAGTGAGCCACAAAATACTCAAATGACAATACTCAACAATCATAATCCAAATATTTCAACATTTAAAATTAAAACAATTTTGATATATCTAAACTGATTTCAACTCCGCCAAGACCAAGACTTAGAACACTTATTTCTGAAGGCGCTTGTTTCAAGGGTTTGAACTTAGAAACTTGTACTTGATTAGCCTACTTGCTCAGCTAGCCCTCTACAGGCCACATATCTGGCCTGTCTTTTTGGTGGTTAGTTTCATGGACTTTCCTGCTTGGGTTGGCTTAAAATAGTGATTCTCAAATTGGGTGCAGGAATCACAATGCTTGTAATCCTACCTACTCAGGGTTACAGTGTAAAGTCAGCCTAGGCCTTAAAAAAAAAAAAAAAATCCATGACACTGCCAGGCATTGGTAGCTCATACCTATAATCCTAGCTACTCAGGAGACTGAGAAGTAAGGATTGCAGTTCAAAGCAAGCCGGAGCAGGAAAGTCCCCGTGAGACTCATCTCCAGTTAACCACCAGAAAGCCAGAAGTGGCATCGTGGCTCAAGTGGCAGAATGCTAGCCTTGAGCTGACGAGCTCAGGGACAGCACCCAGGCCTGGAGTTCAAGCCAGAGAACTGACACACTCATATATACACATAAATGCATAATATCAATGTGACAATTAACTACCATTCAAAGTTAAATACAATTGAGCCGGTCCCCACTGGCTCACGGTTGTAATCCTAGCTACTCAGGAGGCTGAGATTTTCAGTTTGAAGTCAGCCTGGGCAGGAAAGACCATGAGATTCTTTATCTCCAATTACCCACCAGAAAACTGGAAGTGGCAATGTGGCTCACAGTGGTAGAACTCTAGTAGTGAATGAAAAAGTTCAGGGACAGCACCCAGCCCCTGAGTTCAAGCCCCATGACTTAAAAAACAAAATAAATAAAAATTTAAGGATCTGACATTTAAATCACAGTGAAAGTAAAAAAACCAAGTTATATAATCTTTATGTCTCACTTTCTGCCATTAACAACTCCATCTCCTCTGTAGAGAAACAGTCTCTGACTGGAAGCATACTGTTTTTATTAATTACTACAAAGACACTTTCCACTTGAACCACACCTCCAGCTCTTTGTACTAGTATCTGTATACCTGCTTCCTTGTTAGCTTTTTTTGGTTGCTGGTCCTGGGGCTTGAACTCTGGGCCTTGACGCTGTTCCTATGCTCTTCAGCTCAAGGTAAGTGCTTTACCACTTGAGCCACAGTGCTACATCTGGTTTTCTGGTGGTTAATTGGAGATAAGAGTCTCATGGATATTCTTGCTTGGGCTAGCTTTGAACCTCAATCCTAAGATCTCAGCCTCCTGAGTAGTAGCTAGGATCCAAATATTTCAACATATAGGCGTGAGCCATGGGCGCCTAGCCCTTGTTAGCTTTTAAAGGCCTATTCCTTTCATCAGTAAACCCTTAATGAATCAATAAATCTAGAGATAAAAACAGTGTTAAAAGAAAAAGATCAATATATAAATGTTAGCTAATAATATATTTTGGTGGGTACCTTTACTCTTTTTTAATTCATGTTCAAAGTTCAGTTAGGTTTATATAAGAAAGCCTGAGGGGGGGGAGAATGGGGAGGATTGGGTGGGGGGGCGGGGGGAGGATGGGAAGGGATGGGAAGGGGAAACAAAGGAGGAGGCTACAATGCTTGGTGAGAAATGTACTCATTATCTTGCCCATGTAATTGTAACCCCTCTGTACAGTATTTTCACAATAAAAAAAAAAGAAAGAAAGCCTCTGAAACCAACACAGGCACAAAAACAAATTCGGAAAAATATTTGTTCACAGAAATAAATCTATTATTAACTTACCATGGCAACATCATCTAAAATGCTCTGAGGTGAACTATGAGCCATAACCTGAAAGAAACAAATAATTGTCATGTTGAAAAGAAAGAAAAATTACTAACAGAATATAGACAGTAAGTTTTAAGATAAAAAACCTCAAATTAGTAAGGGAATTTTTTGTGGCTAAGGAACCTGTCTATAAACTTTCTTTTTTTGAATTTGATTGTAAGTCAAATCTTACTTACACAACCCTCCTACATCAACCTCGCAAGTGCAGGAAATTTAGACACCCATCACCTTGCCTAGCTTCAGAAGTTTAAATGCTATCATAATTACAAGTGAAGAAGGCAACAACAGTTTGCTTTTCATTATAATAAAAGGTAACTTTTCCTGTGAAAGAATATTACAACACTGGATGACAGTGGTACATACTTATAATCCTAGCTACTCAAGAGGCTGAGATCTGATGATTATGGTTCAAAGCCCAGCCAGGCAGTAGTGAGACTCTTGCCTCCACTAAACTCCTCAGGGGTGTAAGGGGAACAAGAGGAGCTGGGGCTCAGTGACAGAATGCAGGCCCTGAGTTCAAACTCCAGAACCAGCACCAAAAAAAAAAGTCACACCTTCACATGGCGACCATGCTTTCGTTAAAGTAAATAACAAAAGTAAGACTTGCTTTGAAGAAGACAATAAATCTGTACCTTGATTTAACCATGTGGGCTTTAAGTTCTGTACTTATTGTACAACTGTGATACAAGCCTCAACTTCATCTTCAAAATGGGGATGACTTACATGTCTTAAGGTTTTCAGACAAAGTACATTGTACCTCCAAGAACTAAGTAATCAGCTACTGCACAATAACAACTATTATGATACAGGACAATTTTAATATTATATTCCAAAGGACCGACACATTGTTAAAACAGTTACTGGCTTTTGTTGCAAATTTCAAATGTACTTGAATAGCATTCTCCTAATCAAACAAGTGGGTGGAATAGCAGAGCAAAACAAGGCATTCTCAGCAGCAGCAAAGAACATAAGTGACAGCCGCCAGCAATCCATTCCTAACTGAGCTCTGAATGAACAACACAATGTAGCTGGGTGATGGTAACTCACACTAAATCCTAGCTACTCAAAAGACCAAGATCTGAGGATTCTGGTTTGAAGCTACACTGGGCAAAAAAGTCTGGGACTTAACTCCAATTAATGCCCAAACACTGGTGTAGCTCAGGTGGTAAAGGGCCAGCCTTGAGCAGAAAGAGCCAGCCAAGCAAGAGAGTGAGAGTCCCTGTGTTCAAGCCTCAGTACTAGCACACTGGCACGCACGCGCATGCACGCGCGCACGCACACACACACGCACACGCACACAGCACACCTGTATATGATTGTATATGATGTGACAAGTCTGAAGGGTAGAAGGATTTCTTTCTTTGGGTCCAGTTGTAGGGCCTGAATCTGGTCCTCTCAGCTCTTCAGCGCAAGGCTAACACTCTACCACTTGAGCCACAGCGCCACTTCCGACATTTTGCTTTTTGCTTTTGTGGTGCTGAGGAATTGAACCCAGGACCTCAGGCATGCAAGGCAAGTGCTCTACCACTAAGCCACCTTGCCAGCCCTAGAAGGATTTAAAGTACCAACACGCACATACACACATTCTCCCCCGCCACCCCTCAGGTTGTAACAAACCTGAAAAGGGATAGAAGGATTTCTTAAAGTATCAATGATAACTGAAATTGAATTGTCATGAATAGGGTACTTATACTTATCCATTAGAAAGAATAATATGTAATTTGCAGGAAAACAGATCTAACTAGAACAAATCATGTTAAGTGAGGTGAGCCCATCTCAGAGAGACGAACTACACATATTTTCTCTCATATGTGGAAGCCAGATCTAACATATAACTCGACATGATAATTTATAGAGAACTCCAGGCATTTACAGACAAGTAGATTATAGATTAAAGGAGGATACCCTTATAGGAAGAACACAAAGGTGTAACTTCTCAAAACATTTAAAACACTATTTGGAAGTAGTGCTGTGGCTCAGCTGAAGAGCTGAGGGAAAGCACTCAGGCCCAGAGGTCAAGCCCCACAACTGAACCAAAAAAAAAAAAAATTCTTAATTTGGAGCTAGGAATGTGGCTTAATGGTAGAGTGCTTGACTAGCATGCATGAAGCCCTGGGTTGGATTGATTCCTCAGTACCACATATACTGAAAAGGCCAGAAGAGCACTGTGGCTCATGGAGTGTTAGCCTTAATTAAGCAAAAGAAGGTCAGGGACAGTGCCCAACCCCTGAATTCTGAGTTCATGCCCCAGGACTGGCAAAAAAAAAAAAAAGCAAAACACTATCCAAGAACTCTAGGAATTGGAAACTTGTTTGTTTTTTACTGTTATTATTGCTGGTAGGGGTAAAGGGAAGGAAGGGAGGGTAAACAAATGCAATCATGCTATTTAGTATATACCATGTACAAAATGACCTATGTAACTAGTAGTCAAGGATGGGAGGGGAAAGTGGTGCAAGTAAAGGAAGCAGTCATATTGTCCAAAAACAGAAATGTACTCATTATGTGACTAATGAACGGTAACCCCTATGTATAACACCTTAACTATAACAATAAAATGATTAAAAATAAAACAAAAAAACAACCTGCACATGATATAACAAGCCTGAAAGAATAGAAGAAGTCCTTAAAGCACCAATGGACAGCTGAACTAAAAAGGAATTATCATGAATTGAGGCTCTGAAAGACTTTTTTAGAAAGTCTCTAGTGTTTTAAAATATAAAATGTTGGGAAGGAAAAGAATAAAAAGACTAACCTTAGAACAAACAAAATCAACTAATGTAGCCTCTTCTTCACCTATATATTCTATGATTTTCTTATTGATCCAAGGTCTAATTCGTCGTTCCATCAATATCTACAAAATAAAGCACATTAATGAACAAAACTTTTTTAACTTTTATTACATCCACTACAATCTATGTAACTTCAGTTTTTATACATATTCACACAAACGAAAAGATGGTATACATAGCTGAGAAGTCAAAAGGCAAGTAACTCCTCTTAACAACTAATAAACTATTTATCAAAATAAATACAATGGTGGCTGGGAAGGTGGCTCAGTGGTAGAGTGCTTGCTTTGCATGCATGAGGCCCTGGGTTCAATTCCTCAGCACCACATAAAGAGAAAACGTCAGAAGGGGCACTGTGGCTCAAGTGGTAGAGTGCTAGCCTTGAGCTGAAGAGCTGAGGGACAGCGCCCAGACCCAGAGTTCAAGACCCACAACTGACATAAATAGATAGATAGATAGATAGATAGAAATAGGGCTGGGAAGGTGACTCAGTGGTAGAGCGCTTGCCTTGCATGCATGAGGCCCTGGGTTCGACTTCTCAGCACCACATAAGCAAAAAGAAAAAAGCCGGAAGTGGCGCTGTGGCTTAAGTGGTAGAGCCCTAGCCTTTAGCTGAAGAGCTGAGGGACAGCGCCCAGGCCCAGAGTTCAGGCCCACGACCGGACCCAAAAATAAATAAATAAGTAAATAAAATGAAGTAGAAAACATGTTTTGGGAGGATAAAATGGAAGATAACACACAAGGAAGGAAGTGTGAGCAAATACAATTATTCTATTCAAGGTACATTATGTAAAAATTGAACTATGTAACTTGAGGATAGGGATGGAAGGAAAAAAAATAGGGAAAAACAATGGAGGGGGGAGAACAGTGGAAGGGGTGACATTAATGAAAAAGCACTGTATTCATAACCTGATTTTGGAAGTATAACTTCTTTGTACAACATAATTATTTTAAAAAAAAAGTGAACTGACATTTGACATTGACAACTATCAACTGACAGGTGGGCACTGGTGGCTCACGCCTGTAATCTTAGGTACTCATGAGGCTGAAATCTGACAGCCTAGGAAAAGTCCACAAAATTATAACTATAATATAATAACTATAATAATAAAAAGCTGAAAGTGGGAGAGGGAAAGACTTAAAGTTAATATATTCAGTGACAAACTGACCTAAGATCCAATTATTTACTTTTAATCTATGGGTACTGCAAGTACCACCCAAGAATTTTCCCAGTAACAGAAATTTGTTGGCCATGACATTTTCTTGGTGTCAAGAAGATGGTTCACATATTTGCATCACTACTAGATCCAATGGAGATTGTATGTCACATTCACAACACTCCAAAGATGATAGCATTTACATTGCTACTCACAGAATCCACAATAGACCAATCCAGCGGATAAGCAAAGAGCTCAGGTTTGGCTGTAGGGATTTTCTCAATGAGACTCTTAATGTGTTTCCGCTTTTCTTCAGTGTTCACAGTGCCTTTGGCAGCATTTTTATCATCTTCACCATAATCCAAAGGAACCAGTTTCCTTTTTCGGGGCACATCATCACTGTCTTCATCCTCAAATTTGTTAAAGACACTATCTACAGGCAGTTTCTTTCTCTTCACAGAATTAGGTTGTCCAGGACTATTAGAAGCACCTACAGTAAAATGACTTCCTTAGCATTCTGAAGATGTCATTTTCAAATGTTAAATTTGACAACCCACCGTCCCTTAAAAGCAGTACAAAACATACTTCCACAAGTCTCCGATAAATATCCCAACTATAAAAAGTAACTCTCTACTCACAAGTGCTAGAAAATTTAACTTTTCACTTCTTCTCAGAACTTGAGGCAGCTGCAGATATAGGAGCACTAGTAGAACTATGAAAACAATCGTGAGCTAGAAAGGCATTTTTTAAATATTTTGCTATCTACCTACCAAGCAGCACAGATTTATTATTTTCCTTAAAGCAAAATACAGAGAAATCAGGTGGGGAGATAGGGAAAAAAGATGCTAACATACCCAGTTTAAGACTTAGTCCTATTTTTGGCCTATGTTCCTCAGGTTGCTGTTGGTCCGGTGAGTTTTCATGGGGGATAATAATACCACAGGGAGACTCATCCCCAGGAGTGTTGGGAGTTGCATTGCCACTGGCAGAGGAAACAGATGGTGCAGAGCTGATGGGCCTTAGAGTGGGCTTGAGACAAGGCTTTTGTTCTGGCTCCTCTTCTTCTTCCATGGGTTCTTCTCGTTTTTCTTCTTTTTCTTGCTTTTCTTCTTCTTCTTCCTCTGATTCTGGCTCTTGTTTTATTTGTGGTTGTCTACGCCTCTCAGCCTCTTGTTCCATCTACAACCAAAAGTTATATTAACTCAGAAGTTTGAACTGTAGTTTGCTTCTTACTTTACAACATTTTTGCAAACTAACTTTTCTTAACAAACCGTGCTGGGGACTGAACTTATGGCTTTCTCCAAGCTAAATATGAGCTCAAACTAAGCTATATCCCAGCCCAACTTATTTCTTTTGTTGGCTAGGAAAAAAATATTTACATCTTCTCAGAAAGCTGAAATCTAAATATATTAGGTGTTATACCATGGGGAGGAAGGGGGAGAGAAGTGTTTTATTTTGTGCCTGTACTAGGGCTTGAACTCAGAGCCTAGGTACTCTCCATGAGCTTTTTTGCCCAAGGCTAGCACCCCCCCTTTTTTTTTTTGGTCGGTCGTGGGCCTTGAACTCTGGGCCTGGGCGCTATCCTTCAGCTCTTCAGCTCAGGCGAGCGCTCTACCACTTGAGCTACAGCGCCACTTCCGGTTTTCTGGTGGTTTATTGGAGATAGGGAGTCTCACAGTCTTTCCTGCCCGGGCTGGCTTTGAACCGTGATCCTTAGATCTCAGCCTCCTGAGTAGCTAGGATTACAGGCGTGAGCCACCAGCACCCGGCTAAGGCTAGCACTCTTAACACTTGACCCACAGCTCCACTTCTGAGTTTTTGGTAGTTATTGGAGGTAATTACGAGCCTTAGCAGCTTTTTCTGCCCAAGGTGGCTTTGAACTGTGATCCTTAGATCTCAGCCTCCTCAATAGCTAGGATTATAGGCATGAGCCACCAGTGGCTCCCTTTCATCATTTTGAGTTTTCACTTTGGTATATGTCTCTGATGCCAAAATTCTTCCCTTTCTGAATTTCTGTTTATAAATATGAATGTAATCACCAGCTTTAGCATTACACACAGAAGAAAATGATTACATATGATCATCCATAGAATGTGAGGTGCATACACACACAAAAGAGCACAAAGTTCCTGAGTTCAAGGCCCAGACCCAGTGCATAAATAAATATATACACATACAAGCTGACAATGATCAATAACCAAAAAAAAGGGTTGATTTGTAAAATGTTTACAAATGCTATCTAAATAAAAGAATACTGATGATCACTGTACTAAAAAAAAAAAAATACTAGAAACCTCCCACAAAGTTACAAGTTCTACAGAAAACAATGTGTATTCCCCTTAACTACAAATTAAACTATATCATAATTGGCTTGAAAACGAGAAAATGTTGTAGTATATTTTTTGCTAGTCCTGGAGCTTGAACTCAGGGCCTGGGCACTGCCCCTGAGCTTCTTTTGCTCAAGGCTGGTACTTCCAGCCTTGTCTGTTTATGTTGTACTGAGGAACTGAATCTGGGGCTTCATGAATGCTAGGCAAGAACTCAACCACTAAGCCACATTCCCAGCCCTTCAAGTTGTAGTATCTTACCCGCTGGAGCTCTGCATCTGGATCTGGGTGTCCTTCTGCCAGAAGGCGTTGCCTGATTTCCTCAAGCTCTTCTTTTTCTCTCTTCCTGTCTCGTTCATCTGCTTCCATTTCCTTTTCCCTATCACGTAATCTTTTCTGAAGAGCACTCCCCCTGCAAAAGCAATAGGCTCCACTTAATAGTCAGATGTTTGTAAACATGATACTTTCTTTTTTTATTTTTTTTATTGTGATTAAGTGACTACATAATTTCCCCCAATTTCACAGTATTGTGGGATAGTGATGCTCAGGTAAAGTCACAAACACATTCTAACTTTCCTGGAGTAAATTGTCTACTACAGTCTATAACATTTATGAGTTCTATGAGCTTTGCGATAGTTATTTCTTCCACATTGGGTGGTATGTACATTTCTTTTGTTTTGCATAGCAACATGATGCTTTCTTAAAAGTGCCTTTTCTCAATTTTAAGGGCCAAGAGAAGACTGTCACAATGTTCTACATCTATAGAATTCCCACGTCAGTACACAATGTACATTTTAGCCATGTTAAATATTGTCTTAACATGGTAACTATTACCATGAACTTTTTTTTTTTGGTCGGTCGTGGGTCTTGAACTCTGGGCTTGGGCACTACCCCTCAGCTCTTCAGCTCAAGGCGATCACTCTACTGCTTGAGCTAAAGCGCCACTTCTGGTTTTCTAGTGGTTTATTGGAGATAAAGAGTCTCATGGACTTTCCTGCCCAGACTGGCTTTGAATCGTGATCCTCTCAGATCTAAGCCTGAGTAGCTAGGATAAGTAGGTGTGAGGCACCAGGGCCTGCTCTTTTTTTTTTTTTTTGCCAGTTCCGGAGCTTGAACTCAGGGCCTGGGTACTGTCCCTGAATTTCTTTAGCTCAGCACCACTTCTGGATTTTTCTGTGTACATGGTTCTCAGGAATCAAACCCAGGGCCTCACGCATGCTAGGCAAGCAATCTACCATTAAGCCACATTTCCAGTCCCCGTCCCCACCATGAATTTTTATGAAAGGCATTCTCAAAAGTATCTAAAACAGGGCTGGAAAGATGGCTCAGTGGTAGAGCGCTTGCCTTGCATGCCTGAGGCCCTGGGTTCGATTCCTCAGCACCACATACGCAAAAATGAAAAAAGCCGGAAGTGGCGCTGTGGCTCAAGTGGTAAGAGAGCTAGCCTTGAGCTGAAGAGCTGAGGGACAGCGCCCAGGCCCAGAGTTCAGGCCCCATGACTAGACCCAAAAAAAAAAAAAAAGTATCTAAAACAGGGCTGGGAAGGTGGCTCAGTGGCGGGAGCACTTGCCTTGCATGCATGAGGCCCTGGGTTCAATTCCTCAGCACCACATAAGCAAAAAGAAAAAAGCTGGAAGTGGCGCTGTGGCTCAAGTGGTAGAGCGCTAGCCTTGAGCTGAAGAGCTGAGGGACAGCGCCCAGGCCCGACCAGACCCAAAAAAAAAAAATCTAAAACAAGTGGAATGCTCAACAGATCATCTGCATCTTCTCAGACACCAAGCTGAGAAAAACAATACAAGAGGCAGTAAAACACTTAATATTTCTCAGTGCTAGAAAAATATATTTGCTCAGTATATGTAAAGTTCTAGTCCCCAGTGCTATTTGTCTGAAAAGAATAACATATCAATTAAAACTAATTTTTTTCCCATTTGAGTAAAAGAAAAAGAAAAAAATCCAATAGCTAGGCCTGCCTTGCACATGCCTGTCATTTCAGTACTGTGAGTTTGGGAGCTAGAGACCAGCAACAAACACAGTTAAAAGAGAACGAGGGAAAGAGGGAGGAAGGGGGGGAGGTAAGGAGGGAGGGAGGGAGGGAGAGAAAGAGAGACAGTGAGAGAGAGAAACAGAGAGAGAGCGAGCACCCAAAACATAGTGCAAAATCAGAAGGTAGAGATTCTGCAGGGGCACTGATGGCTCATGACTATAATCATAGCTATTCAGGAAGCTGAGTTCTGAGGAACAAGATTTGAAACCAGCCCAGGCAGGAAAGTCCATGAGACACTTATCTCCAATTAACCACTAAAAAAAAAATCAGTAATCCCTCCCAAACCTAACAAACCAATTACTAAATGGGCAAGGGAACTAAAGAGGGACTTCTCAAATGAAGAAATAAAAATGGCAAAGAAACACATGAGGAAATGTTCATCATCCCTGGTGGTGAAGGAAATGCAAATAAAGACAACCCTGAGATACCACCTTACCCCAGTCAGAATGTCCCACATCCACAAATCAGCCAACGACAAATGCTGGAGGGGATGTGGAGAAAGAGGAACCCTATTACACTGCTGGTGGGAATGTACACTTATACAACCACTTTGGAAAGCAGTCTGGAGGGTCCTTAGAAAGCTAAAGATTGACCCCCCTTACGACCCAGTCATACCACTTCTAGGCATCTACCCTGAACAACAGGAACCAATATACAAGGACACGTGCACCTCCATGTTTATTGCAGCACTGTTCACAATAGCTAGGATATGGAAACAACCCAGATGCCCCACCACAGATGAATGGATCCAAAAATTGTGGTATCTATACACAATCGAATATTATGCAGCCATTAGAAAGGACAAAATAATGGCATTTGCAGGGAAATGGATGGAGCTAGAAGGAATCATGTTGAGCGAGGTGAGACAAATGGTACATTGTCTCCCTGATAAGTGGATGCTAAATCCAAAATGTTAGGTGATACGACAAAACTAACAGGACTTAAGAAACAAAGAACTCCTGCTCATCTGGTTGAACCAATACTAAATATCCCCACACTGCTGATCACAAATATGGTATATAACATGTGAACACTGTTATATATTACAGACTGTGATAGACAATTTGCTCCAGGAAAGTTAGAATGAACTTGTGACTTAGAAATTATGTAATCACATAATCACAATCAAAAAAAAAAAAAAAAAAGAATTTCGGGGAAGGGAGGGAGGGAGGGGATGGTAGGGGGAAAACAATGGAGGGGCTAACAATGTTCAAGAGGAAGTGTACTCATTACCTCACTCATGTAACTGTAACCCTCTGTATAGTATCTTTACAATAAAAAAAAAAAAATCAGAACTTTTAGAGCACTAGCCTTGTGTTAAAAAAGCTCAGGGACAGTGCCCAGACCCTGAGTTCAAGCCTAGGAATGGTACACACACAAAAATGACAGAGATTCTATTTAGCAGTTCACTGTGTCTCAGTGTATGAAAGCTATGTACTGCAATTGTGATTCTAAAACCCTAGTATTTTAATTACTTGTAGAATAATCTAAACCAAAGCCAAATCCTTAGCACCCTTTTAAGTTACTAATTGTGAAGTTTAATTATTGTAGCTATGTATTAAATACCTTCACACTAATAAAATGGTAAGTGACACTATCGAAAAAGAAATGTGCTCTTGGCTGGGAATGTAGCTTAGTAATAGAGTGCTTGCCTAGCATGCATGAAGCCCTGGGCCCAATTCCTCAGTACCACATACATAGAAAAAGCCAGAAGTGGCACTGTGGCTCAAGTAATAAGAGTACTAGTATTGAGCAAAAGAAGCTAAGGGACAGTGCCTAGGCCTGAGTTCAAGCCCTAGGACTGGCAAAAAAAAAAGGGAGGGGGAAGGTTAATGTACTCTTTACATATGATTTATGTAACTGTAACCCTCCTTGTGCACCTCCTTTATAATAACAATAAAAAATTGTTAAAAAGACACTCTCCAGGGGCTGGGAAGGTGGCTCAGTGGTAGAGCGCTTGCCTTGGATGCATGAGGCTGTGGGTTGGGTTCCTCAGCACCACATAAGAAAAAAACCGGAAATGGCGCTGTGGCTCAAGTGGTAGAGTGCTAGCCTTGAGCTAAAGAGCTGAGGGGCAGCACCCAGGCCGAGTTCAGGCCCCACGACCGGACCAAAAAAAAAAGACACTCTCCATATCATCAGGGAAAACAACTTTTACTATAATGCCATAAAGACTACTATAATAATGTAGAGATACCCAGGGAAATGGGACAAGCAGGCGTTGAAACTTACTTCTCAGTAATATATAAGTAGGAAAGGGAATTCAGAATGTTATGGACCAGTTCTTGAAATCCTACAGGACAAAAATTTCTAGGCAATTCTAAGTATTTTGAATTTGTTTTAATTTCCTATAGAAACTGGACCTCTTTAAAATACACAAAAGAAAAGGGATTATTGGATAAAATATTATCATGGACTTCCCTATGCCAACAGTTTTTCAACCCCCCCCCAAAATTGTATCCCTTAAAAGGGATGATTTCAGAATGGAATATAAAATTTTTTTACCTTTCTCACTCCATTTAATGAATGAACTTAAATACTGGTTAACATGGGAAATATAGCAAATGAAAAGCTCCAAGTGTAAGTTTGTAAAGCAAAGCTTCTTTACCTGTAATACTTGGGATCATCTCGATCATCATCATAGTCTTCCAAAAATTCCTTTAGTCGTTTAGCCTCTTTAGCCTTTGAAGAAATAAAGGACAAAGACTGTAAAATTACCACATGAATCTTGCATATAACATGTTCTTTTTTGTGTGTGCTGGGGTTTGAACTCAGGGCCTGCAGCTCTCAAAGTTAGCGTTGTACCAGTTGAGTCACAGGTCTAATTTCAGTTTTTTGTGATAAATTGGAGATAAGAGTCTCACATACTCTTCTTGCCAGTGCTGGCTTCTTATAACTGTGATCCTCAGATCTCAGCCTTCTGATAGCTAGAATTATACAGGTGAGCCACTGGTACAAAGCCCTCTCTTCTACTTTCTTAGGAATAATCTTTTTTCTTATTCATAATATTTAAGACTATGTTTTTAATATACTTCATGTATAAATGTGTATAACTTTTAGTTTGGGGTTTTATTAAAAACTACATTGCCAAAGCCAGGTGCCAGTGGTTCATGCCTGTAATCCTAGCTACTCAGGAGGCTGAGATTTGAGGATCACAGTTCAAAGCCAGCCTGCCCAAGAAAGTCTGTGAGACTCTTATCTCCAATTACCCACCAGAAAACCAGAAGTGGCACTGTGGCTCAAGTGGTAGAGCTGAAGAGCTGAGGGACTGCACCTAGGTCGAGTTCAAGTCCCACAAGCAACCAAATTTTTTAAAAAATGTTGCCAAGCGCCAGTGGCTCATGCCTGTAATTCTAGCTACTCAGGAGGCTGAGATCTGAGGATCGTGATTTGAGGACTGAGGTTTGAAGCTAGCCTAGGTAGGAAAGTCCATGAGACTCATCGCCAGTTAACTACTGAAATGTTGGAAACAAAGCTGTGGCTGAAAATGAGAATGGTAGTCTTGGGCATAAAATTTCAGGGACAGCACTCATGCCCTGAGTTCAAGCTGCAGGACACAGAGACAGACAGGAGGACAGGGAGACACACAGACACACAAACACACACACAGCTCAGGGACATACACACGGACAGACACACAAACACCTGGGCCCTCAGTTCAAACCTCAGGACCAACACAAAAAATAACAAAAAACATTAACTATCTTCCATTTTCCAGCAAGGAAAATTAGTATTTTCTTATGCATTCAAAAGTACCATTAAACATATCTTTTTGCCACCTAAAATACATATATCCCTTAACTGACAATGTTGACTTGTTTCAAAATTTAGAATCATAAGCCAAAATTTAGTCCCAGGAGTGAGATATAACAATTTGTCAAAAGAGTAACAAAGATTATCTGGTAGCAACACCAGTGGCATTTGTATGTTATCTTCAATAGCATTTATATGTATGTATCTTATCACCAAGTATGACATACAGTCTGAAAAAAATGAGAAAACTTTTACTTCATATATTCATGTTCTTCATCATAGTCAAGTGTAACTATTTAGGCAACTGTATTTTTTAAAGTATACAAACAGAAAAAAATTAAGAAATGTTTCTAGGGCTGGGAAGGTGGCTCAGTGGTAAGAGTGCTTGCCTTGCATGCATGAGGCCCTGGGTTCAATTCCTTAGCACCACATAAGCAGAAAAAACCTCAAGTGGTGCTGTGGCTCAAGTGATAGAGCCCTAGCCTTCAGCTGAAGAGCTGAGGACAGGGCCCAGGCCCAGAATTAAAGCCCCATGACTGGCAAAAAAAGAAATGCTTCTATAAATAGTCAAGTTTCAGATTTGGTCATAAAAAGAATCATTTGAAAATATATCCGCACCCCTTCCCCGCCAGTCGTGGGGCCTTAACTTTGGCCTGGGCACTGTTCCTCAGCTCTTCAGCTCAAGGATAGTGCTCTACCACTTGAGCCACAGCTTTTTCTGCTTATGTGGTGCTGAGGAATCAAACCCAGGGCCTCATGAATGCAAGGCAAGCACGCTACCACTGAGCCACCTTCTCAGCCCTCATTTGAAGATCTTTATTTCACAACATTATAGATGGTACTGCTGAGAGGGAGAGAGGGTGGGGAATGTGTGTGTGGACTGATTAATTGAAGATGGAGTCTCATGAGTATTTCTGCCTAGGCTGGCTTGAACTAAGGTCCTCCAGGCCTCAGCCCCGAGTAGCTAAGATAACTATAAGCCATAAAGCTCCTAGAACTTTATGTCATTCTTCACCTAATTTTCTCACATTCTCATCTGCATGTTCCCATTTAAGAATGAAATTCTAGGGCTGGGAATGTGGCTTAGTGGTAGAATGCTTGCCTAGCTTCCCTCAAACTCTGGGTTCAATTCCTCAATATTACATAAATAGAAATAAGCCGGAAGCGGCCCTATAGCTCAAGAGGTGGAGTGCTAGCCTTGAGTTAAGCCCCAGGTCTGGTAAAAAAACAAACAAAAAAAAAGTCAAGCACCCTTGCCTCAAGCCTATAATCCTAGCTACTAAAGAGGCTGAGTTCAGAGGATCTCAGTTTAAAGCCAGCCCGGGCAGGAGAGTGATTGGAACTCTTATCTCCAATAAAAATCACCAGAAAACCAGAAGTGACACTGTGGCTCAAATGGTAGAGCGCTAGCCTTGAGCTGAAGAGCTCAGGGATAGTGCCTAGGCTCAGAGTTCATGCCCCATGACTGACAAAAAAAGAATGATATTCTATAATGAGAACATGTATCCTATTTTAAATTTATTTTTCTTTTTTAACTTTGTGGTTCAAGAATAGGACTCAGACGCAGTATCTGCTGATTTTGCTCACTAGCTCTGCTCTACTAACTGAGCCATGGCTCCAACTCTATCTTATCATCTTAATGAGCTAGAAATTATTTGAAATAACTATGATAAGAGAATGTACAGTGTCTATCTAGCTGGACTACATGTACCCTTTTGACTACTACCAAAAATTTCATACCTCTTTTTGTCTAAAAAACTATTTGAGGAATGCTTTTTTTTTGGTCGGTCATGGGGCTTGAACTTATTAGGGCCTGAGCACTGTTCTTGAGCCTCTCTGTGCTCAAGGCTTGCGCTCTACCACTTGAGCCACAGCACCACTTCCTGTTTTCTGGTGGTTAATTGGAGATAAGAATATCAGTCTTTCCTGTCTGGTCTGGCTTTGGACTGCGGTCCTATTTGGTAAAGTTTTTGGATGAAAAAAATCTCTAAACTGGAAATTTCATATTCTGGTTTTAAAAAAATGCATGGAACATACTACAAAATCAAATACTATGATGACAGACTTTTTTTTTTGGGGGGGGTCCGGTCGTGGGGCCTGAACTCTGGGCCTGGGCACTGTCCCTCAGCTCTTCAGCTCAAGCCAGCGCTCTACCACTTGAGCTACAGCGCCACTTCCGGCTTTTTTCTTTTTGCTTATGTGGTGTTGAGGAATCGAACCCAGGCCCTCATGCATGCAAGGCAAGCGTTCTACCACTGAGCCACCTCCCCAGCCCCAATGACAGACTTTTTAAAAAAATCATTTTACTTGGGCTGAGAATGTGGCTTAGCGGTAGAGTGCTTGCCTAGCATGCATGAAGCTCTGGGTTCGATTCCTCAGTACCACACAAACACAAAAAGCCAGACGTGGCACTGTGGCTCAAGTGGTAGACCACTAGCTAGCCTTGAGCACAGAGAGGCTCAAGGCTAGTGCCTGGCCTTGAGTTCAAGCTCTAGGACCACCCCTCCCCCCAAATCATTTTACTCAATAACTCAGACAATTGTTTCATTTAGGAAACAGTTTCACGCAGAAAAAATGAATAGCTGGGCACCAGTGGCTCACGCTTATAACCCTGGCTACTCAGGATGCTGAGATCTGAGGATCACCGTTTAAAGTCAGCCCGGGCAAGGAAAGTCCATGAGACTCTTATCTCCAATAAACCACTAGAAAACCAGAAGTGGCACCGTGGCTGAATACAGAGTGCTCACCTTGAGCTGAAGAGCGCAGGGACAGTGCCCAGGCCCAGAGTTCAAGCCCCAGGACCGACCAAAAAAAAGAAAATGAATAAATCTTTCCCATAGAAACAGTATTTTGATTTTAGCTTATCACTCATATACTTTATCCAAATGTACTGTACCAAAACCAATAATGTTGCAAAATCTTAAAATCTTTTAAAATAAATTTGAAATCTGTAGTATTTTATGACATATTTGCCTTTCTGAGTGTATGGGTGTGTGTCATTGTGTGTTTGTGTGTGGGGGTGTGTGTTTGAGGATAGAACTGAAGGTACTGTACTAGCCAAGTAAATACTCTGCCACTTATTAAGCCATGTCCTTAGCCCTAGAGGGTTGTTTTTTTTTTGGGGGGGTGGGGGAAGGGTGTTTTTCTATACCATTCCTTAAATTCAGAGCCTGGGCACTGTACTGCTCAAGCACTTGAGATACAGCTCTACTTCCAGTATTTTTTTCTTGGTGGTTAACTACAGGTAAGAAATTTCATAGAATCCCTCAAATTGCAACCTTCAGATATCAGCCTCCTGAGTTGCTAGGATTACAGGAATGAGCCACTGGTGCCTCGCTTGATAGACTTCATAGTATGAAAATAAAATTTTATAAACAGCCAAAACTTGAAAAATAAGGAGATAAAGGATTTGTGTACAAAATTTGTCTCATATTTGCTTAAAATATATAATTAACTATGGTCTGATTTTTTTTTGACCCATCCTGGGACTTAAACTCAGGGCCTGGGCCCTGTCCCTAAACCTCTCTGGGCTCCAGACTAGTACTCTACCACTGGAGTCATACCAGCCTTATCTGAGGAAATAGATCCCGGGGCTTCATGCTTGCTAGGCAAGCACTCTACTACTAAGCCACATTCCAAGCCCCTGGTCAGAAATACTTTAGCATTTCAATTACTTTTCCTTAAGTTGATGTGCTTTTTGCTTGGGAAAAAAAAATCACTTATTTTTAACCTAAAATCTTACCATTTCTCTCCTTCTTTCTTCTTCTCTTTCAGCCTCTTTCTCATATTCTCTGGTTTTCTTCCTTTCTCTGATTTCCCAATTCTTAAGGCGCTAAAATAGAAATTTTCAAAGCATTAAAAACTTTTACATAAAGGATTCTTAAAAAAAAAAGTATACTTACTAATATACACCAAGCTTTTATTTATTTTTCTTAAGTTGTAGGGCTTGAACTCTGGGCCTGGGTACTGTCCTTGAGATCTTCAGCTCAAGGCAAGCACCTAGAAGTCTCACAGCTAGGAGCCAGTGGCTTCATGCCTGTAGTCCTAACTACTCAGAAGAGGCTGAGATCTGAGGATCACAGTTCAAAAACAGCCTGGGCAGGAAAGTCCATGAGACTCTTATCAAATAAACCACTAGAAAACCGGAAGTGGCGCTGAGGCTCAAGTGGTAGAGACCTTCGCCTTGAACTGAAGAGTAGAGGGACAGTGCCCAGGCATGGAGTTCAAGCCCCACGACCCACCAAAAAAAAAGTCTCGCAGACTTTCCTGCCTGGCTTTGAACTGCAATCCTCAGATCTCAGCCTCCTGAGTAGCTAGGATTACAGGTGTGAGCCACCAGCACCCAGCTACACCAAGCTTTAAGATTAAAAATTTTTCTCAATTTACCTCTTGATAAGCAGCTTCTTTCTCTCGAAGTTTTCTTTCAAGCTTTCTTCGTTCATATACATCTTCTTCATCCTCTTCTCTGTCTCTTTTCTTGTCTTTCTCTCTTTCCCGTTCCCGTTCTCTTTCTCGTTCTCTCTCTCTCTCCCGTTCTCGTTCTCGCTCTCTTTCTCGCTCTCTCTCTCGTTCTCGCTCTCGTTCCCTTTCTCGGTCTCTGCTCTTTTCTCTAAAATATTTTTAAAACTGTCAGTCTACTTTCAGTTTTAAGGAGCAAGGGAAAGGACAACAAATATTATAAAATAATGTACAAACTGACAAAACAGAAAAATTAATCACAAAGCTTAAAATTGTTGCTGTGAATACAGCTCATCAGTAGAGTACTTGTGTGATATATAACAGGCCCTGGGCACACGGATGGAAGAAAAGTGAACAAATGCAGTCATTATATTCAATGTGCATTCTGTAAGGGGAAAAATGATGGAGGGGTGACATTGATCAAGATGCTCCTAACTGGAACTGAAACCTCTTTGCAGAAGAGGTTAACAAATAAAAATAGTTAATAAATAAAAGGACCTGTGTTCAGTACCCTCACTGCAAAAGAAAACAAAAATGAATTCTAGTTTGCAATCTTACCATTTGGAAGGCTAAGGGGAACAGCCTAACAAATACCTTTCCCCACACCCAAACAATGTCACTTTCACCAACATTACCTAGGCATTAAGAAAAATCAAATAAACAAAAAAGCCATGCTGTAAGGTTCTTGGTATCAGAAACAAGCTTCTATAAGCCTTACCTTGATCGACTTCGATCCTTATTTCGATCTGAGCTCCTTTCCCGATCCCGGTCCCGATCTCTTTCTCGATCCCGATCTCGGTCTCTTTCCTTTGTTCGGTCACGGTCCCTATCCCGTTCTCGTTCCCGCTCCCGTTCCTTCTCCTTTTCTCGTTCACGTTCTCTTTCCCTTTCTCGTTCCCGTTCTCGCCTTTCTCGTTCCCTTTCACGCTCCCTCTCTCTTTCTCTCCGTTCTTTCTCAATTTCCTGTCTTTCTTTTTCCTTTTTGCCTTTCTCTTCTTCCAGTTTCTAGAAACCAATAAAAGCACTTTTAGAGTTAACTCTGTGTAGCTCCAGTATTCAGACCTTTCCCGGCGCAATGCCCAACATTAGGAACAAAAACATGAAAATCCATGGTACTTCAATACATTGTGGCTTTACTTGCAAATTAAGCTGAAGCAATCACAAGACTAGATTCGTGCAAAACCATATACTCTACACAGACCAGGAATCCAATCTTGGATGCTGGGAGATGCTGTCAAGCGTGGCTGGCCACTCAAGTGACAATGCAATAATTAACCAGGAAGAATGTGGTGGCTCATAGCAATTTCTAGAAAGACAATCACTTGGCTAAAACAGAATTCTGCCCATTATACATATGTAGGTCAGTGAGACTAATAGTAATCATAACTCTAGACTTCCCATTTTCTAAAGGTTACTAGACCATGATTTTAAGAGTCAAGTCGCTGGATGCACAACCTTCTGTAGTCTGGTTTTCCCACCCTCCAAAAGAAACCTAAGTTAAACCCAGTCGAGATCTCCCTTCTTATTATGGAAATATTCACTCCCACCAATACAAGATGGACAGCCCACCAAATACAAAAACTCTAAATATCATTCACTTCAAGCAAAATATACACAATTATATTTTCACTTAAAATATTTATATATTATACCCATGCCTGTAAGACAATGAAAATATATTTACAATGATAAATCCATCCTTGGAAGGAATGATTGTGTATGAACTTACAGATGCTGTGCTAGGACATGGATCGCCAACACTGGATTAACCTTGCCTACAAGCTATGTTTCTGGGAGGAAGAGCAAGTACATGGTTCACAAATAAACCAAATGCAAAGTCAAACCAAGTTTGTCCCCTGAAAGTTTACCAGTGTACCACAAGGTTTCTACACAAACTCAGAAGAAAACAAAAATAATTTTTTTTAAAAATCCGAACAGGTAAAAGAAAACAAACACATTTATTCCTCAGATTTCATATTTAGTTTCACTGAAATAAAATTTTAAAACTGCAACAATAAAATGTGCATTTCTGTTTGCTCAGTCATGTAAAGCATTTAAAACAACTTTAAAAAGAAGTCTTACCTGTTTGATACTTTTCTCTTGCTCATGGGTCAGAGAACTGATAGAGGATTATGAAAGGAAAGCTAATGTATGAATCATCAATATATTCAGCTGCTGTGCTAATCTAAATCAAAGTAGAGTGCAGGCAGAGCCAATACTGAATACATTGAAATTAGAAAGGGAAGAAATAAGAAATGGTAGAAAGACAGAAACTGAGAGTATTAAAGGAGAAAAATCTCATTTGTGAAACAGTTGCCTAATATTAATACTGTAAAGTGAGGCTAGACCATTTAAAACTTACCTCAATGTCATACACTTAGAAAGAAATTTGTTTTTCTGAGATAACAAATACTTACAGATTATTTAAGCTGTTCCAATTTAATTTCTTTTGTACATTTCCCTAATTTTTTATTCTTGCTTAGTCAATATGCTACTTTTCTCTTATGTAAAAGTATTTGTTTCAAAACCTATTTCAAAAGTTTAGCTGTTCTAAGTAAATGAAACTGAATGCCTAGTTCATACTAAATGCCTTTTTTTTTTGGGGGGGGGGAGCCATTCAGGGGGCCTGAACTCTGGGCTTGGGCACTGTCCCTCAGCTCTTCAGCTCAAGGCTAGCGCTCTACCACTTGAGCCACAGCACCACTTCCGGCTTTTTTCTTTTT